TCATTGTTATGAACCTACCACTCGAAGGCTTTGTATTGCCCGTCATGTGACCTTCGTTGAGAATATTTCCTATTATACTACTTCAGATTTAGATCTCTCCTTTCTTCAACCCCCTTCATTACCTTCCACTGCTATACTAGTATCAGTGGCACCTGTACCTTCCTCTACTCAATCGACTCCCTCCTTCACTCTAATGGCATCAAACGATGGTGCTGTTGATTCATCCACACCTCTTGGACATTCTCCTACTACATCTCCTTTGCAGCAAGATACTCCTACTGATGTCACCTCTACATCTGTGCTAGCTTCTCCCGATGTGACTCCTCCCCTCACCGTAATCCTCCACGAGATCGTCATTCTCCTGCTCGGTATGCTCAATGTATCACTAGCACATATTCTCTTGAGTTTATCTTTTTTCTTGCTGTTATTCACTCTATATATGAACCTAACTCATATTCTGAGGTAGTTAAGTATCCATAATGGCAACAAGCAATGACAGAAGAGTTGGAGGCTTTTCGTCGGACTAATACTTGGGACCTTAACCAGTAAGCTACAAATGGATCTATAAGGTCAAGACTCGATCTGACGGTTCTATTGAGTGGTATAAAGATCGTCTTGTAGCTTGGGAATTCTCATAAGAGTATGGTATTGACTATGAAGAGACTTTTACTCCTGTTGCAAAAATAACATCCATTCGCACTCTCATTGCTGTTGCAGGTGTAAAACATTATCATTTGTATTAAATGGATGTTAAAAATACTTTTCTTAATGGCAATCTGTCTGAGAGAGTATACATGCAGCCACCTCCTGGCTTTCCTGCTCCTCCAGGACATGCATGTCGCCTTCGTCGTGGTATATATACTCTCAAACAGGCTCCTCGGGCTTGGTTTGAGCGTTTTTGACAATCTCTTCTTTCTATTGGTTTTATTGAAAGCCTAACTGACTACGCTCTATTTTATCAGTCCTCAGCCTTCGGTACAGTCATTTTATTACTTTATGTTGATGACATGATAATCACCGAGAGTGATTCCTCTACCATTACTTCCTTAAAGCAACATCTTCAGAGACAATTTGAGATGAAGGATCTTATATCCCTTTATTACTTCTTGGGTATTAAGGTTGCTTCCTCCTCTCGCGGCTATCTTCTCTCTTAGCAGAAGTATATTGATGACATTCTTGAGCATGCTACTCTCAGTGATCCTTTCATTGCTACTACTACTCTCTCTCCACACTGATGGAAATGAACTTGAAGATTCTCTCTCCACACTGATGGAAATGAACTTGAAGATTCGACATGATGATGACGATCCTTTATCTCAGCCTACTCGATATCGGGAACTTGTTGGAGCATTGGTTTATCTTTTAGCAATACGTCCGCATATCACCTATGTAGTACACATCTTGAGTCACTTTGTTAGTAGTCTGACTTCCATTCACTATGCAGCTCTCATTCGGGTTCTTCGATAAATCTGTGGCACTATAACCCAATCATTATTTTCCCCTCAGACTCTTCTTTGTCTCTTCATGCATATTCTGATTCTAGATGAGCTGATGATGCCGACACTCGACGTTCAACTACTGCTTTTGTATTTTTCTGGGTTCATCTCTCATCTCTTGGCATAGTAAGCGTAAAGCCATCGTCTCTCGTTCTAGTACAGAGTCTGAGTGCAGGGCGTTGGCAGACACCACAGTTGAGCTGAAATGGCTCCGCACTCTTCTGCGAGATCTTGATGTATTTGTTACTTCTCCTATCACTTTATACTGTGGTAATCAGAGTACCATCTCCATTTTTACAAATCCGCTATTTCATGAATGTACAAAACATATTAAGGTGGATTTTCATGTAGTTCGACAGGAGCATGTTGCTGGAAACATTACACTCTCATATGTTCCCTCTAAGGAACAAGTGGCAGATTTGTTTACCAAGGCTCAAACCATTTCTGTGTTTCGCTATTTCTTGTCCAAACTCTCGGTGTTCGATCCACCGTGAGTTTGAAGGAGGGTGTTAGATAATATCATGAGCTCTAGCCCTAGCCGCCCTAGTGTGTATCCACCTCCTAGCGTGAGCTACCGTTTGTGTATAGTGTGAGCTACTATTTGTGTATATATACCCAGTAACTCTGATCATAATACACCAAGTTCTCTTCAATACCAACTTAACAGAAGGAAATGTCAGCTTTGGCGTGGCAAAGAGCTATGCCATTCAATTAGAATCAGATCAATTTTGTATAGTGGTTATAGTGACAGAATGCTTAAATTAATTATGGATTGAACTCGCAATCCATTTAACACTCTATGGCCATACTTCTTAATTCAAAGTGGCATCAAGGATTTGGGTCTGTGGAAGGACATCACCGATTTATTTGTTATGTTCCAAGACAACTAT